GGTTCATCAACTCCATAAACTGGGAGAACTCTGCTGCCATGCGGTCATTCCGGAGTCACGAAAGAAAGACGAGAGTTGGGGTTGCTTTTCCCTTTTCTTGCTTCGCTTGAGGGGTGGGATTGACATCTTCTTTTAAGGGGCCATTTGAGGAGTCGGAGAGTGGGAGTTACCTTCCCCTTCACTTGTGGCTTCCGGAGAGTGAGAGTGCGAGCTGCTTCTTCTTTGGGGGGGGGGGGGAGCTCTTTGGCCTCTCTTCCACTTTGAAGAGTAACCGCCCCTACGTCAGCTGACTTTCAGGAACGAGCCTCTTGTGAGATAATTCCTATGCTTGCGGCCAGATTAATCAGGTGGGTCTCCTGGCTCTCCAACCCCGCCTCGATTGCCGAGAACTTCTCTGGAGGCGACAAAGGTCATCACTACCTCCTCAAGGCGGGTCATTCGATGACACTCTACTTCCTCGAGGTCCCAACTTGCATCCCACTCCATGGGTGTCACTACTCCGCTTCCTTGCCCCTTATCTTCGAGCATTACCTCGATCAACTGATCTAAATTCGCTTCAAGTAGGGCCATAGAGCATCCTATTGAATTCGGGGCTTCCACTTCTGTTTGCCCCCCCCCCCCCCCCCCCCGGGTCATGCACCACCTACACACAATCGAAAAACACACAAAGTCTAGCATAAGCAAGGCCCACACACTTTCAAAACTGGAAATTTAAAAGCTAGATTAACACCAAACAACTTTTTCAAGATAACAGACTGTTGTTCCCGGCAACGGCGCCAAAAACTTGACTCAGCCCGAATACCACAATGATTCCGCGCCAAAGGTCCAAGTATAAACCTTAGTCGGGTGTAGTACATGATAAGTATGTTTAAATATCAACTCGGGCTAGTCCGTCTACCCCTACTTTATTCATTTGAATCATTATCTAGCAATAAGATTTTGGTTGAAAAGTTTGTTAATTAAAGTAAAACAAGGCAAAGTTGAATGGTTTTGAAAGCTCTTTTGTGGATGGATCACTCGGGTGTCGCATCCCCCTAACTACTACCATGGTATGTGAACCGAAATGATTGTCATGGGCAAGGTGATCGCTAACCGCTAGGGAACGCAAATATGGTCGTAGACCACGCTCATGTTTGCTAAACCGAGGAATGCATTATAGGTTGTCACTAGGCCCTCTCGGTTTAGGAAATCAATGATTGACTTACTCCCTCACTCAACCCAAGGGTTGGGTGGCTCAATCGTGCTTAACCAAATTGCTTAATCCAATATTGTGGTTTGCCCTAAATTAACCTAGTTAGAAGACTTGAAAAGCCCTAGGGATACCAACTCAATTGAGACTCTCTTGGAAGGGGGGTTTCCCTCTCAAGACTAGGTTAAGTGGCTAATTAGATTGCTAAGCATAGACATGCATAATCCTTAGGTTGCTAAGCATAGACATGCACAAACCTAAGGATTCTAAGCACAAACATGCACAATCAAGATGAATAATACCTCAAACATTTGAATTAAACAATACCCAATGACAATCATTAAATTCACATAAAAGAAAACTACATGGTAGAGTTAGGGTTTCACAACACCCAAGTGAAAATAATTCTACTCCATGCTAGAGATGGGAGACACACAAGGAGAAGGGGTAGAAACTCATTCTTAGGAGACTTCCAATCTTCTTAGCCCTTGTGTTGAACTTTCCTTGGAGGAAATCTTCCTAAAATCCACCTTGGAGGAAAACCCTAGCCTCCTTCTTCTTTGGTTCGTGTTTTTATCTCTAGAAATCAGAAGAAGGCTTTCTCACTCAAATGGGCTCCCTCCTCTCTCTTCCTTTCAGCTCAGCTTTTAAACAGGGAACGGGTTGTGTTCACGGCTCCAGGTTATGGCCGTGAACACTGAAACACGTCAGTGAACTCCAATTGGGCGCCGAAACGCATTGCTTTGCTTCCTTGTATTCACATTCTACAGCTCCTGTTCACAGTCTTAGTAATCGTGAACACGTCTTGCGTCAGTAACTTGCATTTTGGCTATGGACACCTCAAGGTTGACGGCCAATGGCTCTTATTCACGGTCATGTAAGACCGTAAACAACCCAAGAAATCTATGATCTCGCCCTTTTTAGCCTCTTCTCCCGGTTTTCGATCCTTTTCGTTTAACTTTCGACTCTGAGGCTGGTTTCACTAGTTAAATTCTGAAACACACTAAAACACGAGAAACCTAGTGTAAAACCAACCTTTTAAGAGCGAAGTTGCCACAAATGACTAAGGAAAACGGGGGCAAAACATGTACAATTAGGCCCGAATCATATTGATCTTATGTTTTGCTTATATTTTTATTATTAGTCTTGTTGCTAGGGATGGCAATCGGTCGGGTCGGAGGCGGATAGTGCATATCCGTTACCCTACTCAAAGTAGTTCGGGTTTTATCCACCCATTACCCATAATATTCGGGTTCGGGTTTTACCCGTAGCCACTAAAGTCTTTCGGGTTCGAGTTTTACCATATCCGATTAGGTCGGATTTGTGCGGATTCCCACAATTACAGATAATTTTGCTATCAAAATCTTTACCTGTTGCTTATTTGCTAGGTCTGGATTCAATTGCATTTCTCGCCTCTCATTTCCCCATTCAACCGGTCAAGTTGTACCACCCCAACTTTTCCTCAAGTATTTCGCCTTTTCCACACGTTTTCACCACCGATTAGGCCCAGTGGCTTATCCCCTGCCAATTTCATCAACTTCTTCTGTCCATAGAGCTAATGTATTCAAAAACAAATTTCTTCTTTTCTTAGGCCATCTATTGCTAGAATTTCTAAGTAATGGATGTAGTATTCCCTTTCAATTTGATTTTGTTGTTCATGTTCTTGGTTTTCAGTGGTTTCGGTTCTGCTTCAGGTTGTAGGTGTTGGCCTTTGTTGCTTTTCTGGAAAGGTTGGGATTATATCTATTCAGATGTACGTAGTTGTTACTTCCTTTCCCTATAGAGTGTATGCTTTCTATAATACTTTCATACCTTACTTCTAAACAATTACATTCACTGATCAGAACATGTTTTTAACGGTTAGTAAAATAGTACTTATAATAACAATTTGATGCAGTTGAATGTTGGTTTGTTTATAGTTGTGCTCTTGCTAAAATTCATGCTCTTTTTTATTGGGGCGTACTATTTGTAGCCTTAAATTGTCTTTATTTGTAGCACTAAATTATAAAAAGTACAATAATACCCATCACATATAAATACATTTAGTTCACACATTTCAAGACCAAAATATTCAAACACTTTCTCCAAACACAATCCTACAATACTCGCCGCCGGCAACAGCCACCTCCCGCCGGCGACCGCACCTCCCGCCGGCGACCGCCACCTCCGCCGGCGACCGCCACCTCCGATGGCCTGAAGTCATGCCGGAACGTCGCCGGCGACGGACGAACGTCCTGCCGGGACGTCGCTGGTTTTTTATTTTATTTTTAATTTTTTTTAATTTAAATTTGTGAAGTATATTAGATTTTTTAAAAAGATATTAATTTAGATTTTTTGGTTATTATTTTAGATTTTTTTATAATAGATTGATGAATGATTTAGATTTTTAAGAATATTTAATTATTTTGGGAGAGAAGGGAGTGTTTGGTTGGAGTTGTAACAAGTTCAATATTTTAAAAGGAAGAGAGGGTAAAATAGTAATTAAATTCTCCTAGTGCTACAAATAAAAAAAAAGTTAGGGCTATAAATAGCAATTCAGTTTTTATTTGTTGCATTCTTGCTATTTTAGATTAGTGAGTTCCTTCATCATTGCTTGTATTAGTTGTTTGTGTATCTCAAACTAAAAAGCTTCCACTATTATTATCTGAGTTATGTTTCGACACCAAGGAGAGATGCACAAGAAGTTGGCTGCCGCCGGAAGGTGAATGGTGACAATTGTTGATATATATATATATATGGAAACGACCGTATGCGTCAGACACATACTATGCGACAGGATTCTCTACCGTAGATCTAATCTAACGGTCATTATAAATTATATTAAAATTAGTAATAATAATTACTACTTGCACCCCTTAAATAATTATATGTGCTATATAGCCCCCCAATAATAATTTGCGTTTTATTTTCTCACATAATACCTATTCGTTTTTGTGAGGACTCAGATGATACCTTATTTCTTCTAGATCTTTTAATGAACACCCAAAAATTATACAATTGATAAAATAAAGTTCCATTAAAAGGTTGCCCCAATTCGACAATCCTAAACCACCATCATCGTCATTACGATTTTTCTAGATACCCCAATTGCAAACCACTAATTTTACTATCATCATCATCGTCCCTGCTTCTGATCTACATCGACTTTGGCTCATCATCATCTGTTTTTAAGGTCGCAGATGACAGCTACCCTTTCGCGACGAATCCGAATCAATTGACAGTGAAAGACTATGACCTTTACGTCCTGTAAACAATGACTAAGGCTGAAATGGAGAGAGGGGATTGGGTCTCGTCAAGGGAATTCTCTTGGTCGGAGTCCAGAATCGTAACGGAGTGAGAAAGTTTGGACGATGAAGAGAGACGGCTGTCGGATTACGGTGGTGACGGCGGCAACTGGATAATTGGGAATTTGGGGGGATAGGGAAGACGACGATACATGAAAGGGAATTCTCTTGGTCGGAGTCCAGAATAGTGAGAAATTTTGGACGATGAAGAGAGACGGCCGTCGGATTACGGTGGTGACGGCGACAACTGGATAATTGGGAATTTGGGGGGCTAGGAAAGACGACGATACATGAAAAAACGGCATCGTTTTGTGCTCGTCTCTGAATCGAAAGTGGCCTGGAGAACGGCGTCGTTCTATAGGTGTAGCTGAAAACAAAAACAAAAATTGTAATGGTATGAGGGTCGAACCAGTGTCCTGGTGATTACCATGGGCATTCTTCACCATTCATGCTGTACAAAATTTTGATTCAATATATTTCCACTTTTTTATTTATAACTATAAAATGAGTTCTTGTAAAATTAAAACAAAAAACTAACCTAAGAAGGCCTTTTGTACCAGGCCCAATAGGGCTTAGTCGAGCAGATCGGCGGCTGCCCCTGCCCTCCCTTTGTCTCTTTAACAATAATCAATTGTAAAAAATAAAATAAATCAGAGAACAATAATGGCAAAGTTGAAAATTGGAAGACTACTTACCTACCAAATCTAGCAAACGATTTATCTTCTGCTTTTTCTCCCCTCCCCATGCGCTGCCTTCTCGGTTTTCCTTCAAACTGATCAGACACATACTCAACCGCCTTCATCCTCCCTCCGCCTCAGTTGCATTTCTCCGCCTCCGCCTGTCAAGCAACCGCTGGTCGCTCAGTAGCGGTCTCCTCCTCCGGGCCACCATCGTCGCCTGCCACCTCCGCCGCTGATTCGCTGTAGCGGTTGTGGGAAGAAGAGCGGAGGAAAGTCGCCCGGACTAACCACGTTGGTTGTGGGAAGAAGAGCGGGCCACCATCGTCGCTTGCCACCTCCGCCGCTGACTCGTTCCCGATCTGCTCGACTAACCACGCGGTGTCGCCGGCCACGTTTCCACCGCCGCAGGTACTTTTCTTTAATTGATTGTTAACTATTTGGTACGTTCTATTAGAATAGTTGATCATAATGTGTTCTTATACTCCTATTGAATATCCACAGTACGTGCAAGAACAGAAATTGAGTAGGGTCTCCGTGCTGTAATTTTCTGACAATGGATGATATATCGCAATGGTACCCGTAAGTATTGTTTACCAACTAATCGTTACGACATTCTACTCCGCTTCCTTTTCCTATTGTCAGCCATGACTAACGTCTAACGGTTTTTTTATAGCGACTTTATGGTTGAGCCTGGTTTCGTTGCAAAGCTGAAGTATGAGGAAGCATTACATATGTCTATTTTGTCGGATTCAATCGATCTTACATTGTTGCAAGAGAATGGTGACGATGAGGTTATTGAAAATTTGAAATTAACTTTTTTGTCATTCATCCTTTCGATCTCGTTTGCAATTATTGTGTTTGTTAATGCTTGTTAATTTTTTTTGAAATTCCTTTTCTTGTTTTAAACACTAGGGCACTTCTTACCTCATCTCCGGACGTGTCGGCGAGGTGAATACATCCTGGTGTGCTGAATGTAGAGTTCATTTGATCCACCTAACTATCGAGGATGATTATTTGGATATTGAGGTTGTTTTCCCATCGACAAACTTGCGCAAAATCGTTTCAGATGTAGTAAGTGATAAAGATATGGCCAATGCCGATTTCGTTACCCTTATCAACTTGATTGGTGGAAACTCCTATGAGTTTTTGGTCACATAGGGTCCTTGGAACAATGCGTCGAGTTTTTTTGAGCTGTTATTGGTAAAATTATTTTTTCCTCCCGGAAACTGAATACCATTTCAGCAATGTCAATAGAATCTACTAAAGTTGCTTAGTGTCCACCTTAATGTTATTTCTCTTGTTATGCAAGTGTACTAAGTGTGTGAACACAATGCTTTTTTGTACGGGTTCTGCCCTTCTTAATGAATTGTTGCTTGTATCTTTCTATACTTATCGAAACATTTCTCAATTACTTATAAATGGGATCAGTTGCCTAATGAAAAGTTATGAAACAAAATTCATGTTAATTTGGTTCAAATTACTGTATCATCAACATACCACACCCCAATTCGACTATCCAAAAGGCCATTATCTGTTCACGGTTCACCCAAGCTACCCCATAGCTAACCATTTATCTCACCAACAGCCATCAAAACCCAACAACCATCAAAACCATGGTTATCTCCAATTACTGCCCAGGGAAGACGATGAGACATGACAAACGTCGTCGTTTGTGCTTGCTGCTAAAGCGAGAGTGTCCCCAGGACGACGTCGTTCCACAAGCGTAGCTGAAACATGATTACATGGATGTGGGTAAAAGAAATAAGAGAATATGGAGAATCTAACAGGTTAACCTTGCAATGATAATAGCAAATCTTAACAATCAATGTTGTACAGGTATTTTGATAGTCTAAATGTACACGTTTTGTATACATATGTTGTAACAATTAAACATAATAACAAAAATAATTAAGGAAGTAAAGCAAAATAAATGAAGACAACGACAATTTTTGTATAGAAGTCAATGGCTTTACCATGACTATATTATATGAAAAAGCTATCTACATGTGCATACCATGCATTTGGGCAATAAACCTTCCATACTACTTGTAGACACTAGTTTTTGTCCGGGTTAAAATATTTTTAATAAAATGTTAATTAGTTTCAATTTAAGGTTTGCAATAGCAAATCTTTAATGGCCTTCTAACTAAAACGTATTTGTAGTGTTTGGGAAATGTATTGGTTATCATAACTGAATAAGATTAGCAATAGCAAATCTTATTTGGTACAATTTGGATTATTGAGATTAGCAATAGCAAATCTTAATCGATACAATTTGATAGTGATGGCATGCTTCAGTTAGACGATCTAGTTTTAAATCGAAGGAGTTAGGCTATGGAATGAATACTTGTATGATTCTCTACCGTAGATCTAATCTAATGGTCATTATAAATTATAGGCAAAATACACCTGCATAGCCAAAACTTTCACCTTTGTGCCACTTATAGCCACATTTGGCGAAATACCACTAATAGCCACTTTTGAAAGATGTTGCGTGGGGGTGTACATGGGTCGGTGGTCCGGGTTTAGCCATTTTATCACCCAACCCATGCACTACGGTTTGGAAAATATCAAACCCAAACCCACCCTAAAAAAATTTAAACCCTACGGTTTGTTTCTAATTAAGTTGGGTTGGGTCGGGTTGGCGATATTTTTAAATAAAAACCCAACCCAACATAAAATTTATAATTATCCTACATCATAAAAATATTTTATAACTAATTAAAATTTCAAACGAATAAACCGTGGTGAAAGGTATCAAAATTAACAAATGTTGTTTGAATTTTAATAAAATGTGATTTACTTCAAAATATGTCTAGTTTTTTTACGATATTTGTTGAAATAGGCTAAAAAGGTTATAAACAAACGCACCCACAATATGTTATTCTATTAAAATTGTACACAAGAAAAACGATTACGTGAATCATAACTATATTTAATTTATGTCTAAACTTTAAGTCGAATAATGCATTATATTAGGGAGACCATGAGAGAAAAACATGGCGAAATATCTTAATTTTCTCATAAGTATGGCTACATACGACATAAATATTTCTTAGATACGAACTCATACTAATAGTTGGAACACGGGTTGGGTCGGTTTGGACGGGTGGGTCGGTTTGCGGGTATGTTTGTTCACCCCTAATGTTGCGTGCCAGATATAGCCATTTTCGTTAGAAACTATGACGGCGTTAATAACTCCGTCAACTTATTTGACGGTTCGCTGACGAGGCGCCAAATCATCAACCAACGTCAGCGACAACAAAGCAAAAATTGACACGTCATCTTAATAATTTATTTATTATTAAAAAAAATTTAAAACTTTCCCCATCTACCTGATCGCACGAGGCTACCAAAAATCCCCATCTATTTCCAGAAAATGAAATTAGGGCTTCCTTCTTCTCCATCTCTTTCTAGAAAACGAAATTAGGGTTCTTCCCAAATTTCCTCTTCCCCACGAAGGAGATACACGAAGCTGATCGATGCTTACTCCTCTTCCCCAAATTTTCTTCTAGTTTCTGAACGACTCGGCGCTTCTTCCTTCTTCCCCAAATCCCACTTCTTCTTGGCCGATTCGCGACCCCGAAATCGCGATTTCTCCTGGATAGAACTTCACGCGAAGGTCAGCCATGTCCAAGCGAGCATTTTCCTCAACTTCGACTAGCATCAATAGCCGAGGGGCGGTACTCTGTTGGCACAAGAAGCCATGTGTGGTGAATACATCTGGAACCGAAGCGAACCCAGGAAGACAGTTCTATGGGTGTCCATTTTGGATGGTAAGGTGTTTAGATATGGGTTTCGAAATTGTCATTGATGTGGGTTCTAAGTTAAATGGTCGTATGGTGCAGGACGAGAAGAAGAACTGTCGTTTTTTTAGGTGGGTGCGAATGAATGTCGATGAAGATAAGCACCATGACTCTGAAATTGGGTGTTCGATTTTGAATATGAAGAAAGTTTGAGGCTAGCTGAGTGTAAGGCGGAAAGGAGGAAGAAGGAGAAGAAACTTTTGGCTGAAGAGCTATCAAGATGGAAGAAGGCACATGAAATTATGCTAGCTGAAGGAAGGAGAGTTAATCATGATATCCATGTAATTCGAGATTTATTGATAGTGATTGTCGTACTGAACCTAATATTGGTTATTCTTATGTTGCATCACGTTATTATATGGTAAGAAATTAATCGACATTGATATGAGAAGCAAAAGGTTTCTGAAAACGTAGTTGTCATCCTAAATGTTGTGTAGAAGCAATTGGTATTTGTGTTCTTAATGTAGTTGTGTTCTTAATGCTTGTTACACTATATTGATTTAGAAAATGCCACACATTTGTCAATTAAGGCTGGCTACATAACTTGGTTTGTCTTTAGGGTACGTTTAAAATGAGGAATACAATGTTGGAATTCCATTATTATGTTTTATAGGGTATGTGATTGTATTTGGTGCAGAAGACCACCTGAGTGGCAGGTAGCAGGTCCCGAATTTGGCATATGACACGAGTGGTTCTTGTAGATGTGGCACTATAGCATTGGTATTTTTAGATAGAGTGGATGCAATAGAAATTCTTCCATGCTCCGAGATCACCATGTCATTTTACTGACATGGTACTCTCAACTAATAAAAAACAGCCACTTGGAAATTGAGTAATTAATAAAATACAGAAATGGAATTGACTCGCATTTAATTAGTTTCTCAATTAATTGGTTAATCCAGCCATAAGGCATCCAGGCTCAATTGAATTAAAGGCCCAATTTTTTCCCCTTTACTTTTATAAATTGAGTAAAATTATTAAACTAAGAAATAGTAACCCAAAATCAAAAGACGAAAACGGTTCAGTTTCCTTCTTCTCTTCCAATCCTCTGTTCAGTCTCCGACGAAGACAGAAAAGGGCCACCAAATTCATTGCATGGACGTCGTTCCCTATCTTCCTGTCTGCGTGACCGACTGCATTCTCAGTTCCAGCGATTGATTTCTGATAACGATGTAATTGCATATATTTGCGCCCCTAGTTCTTATCCGTTTGAGGGGCATAGTCGTGTGTTTTGGCCTATTTTACGCCGGGTTGTGCTATTTTGTCATGTTTCTGGTCCCAGGTGTCAAAGGGAAGGCTAAGCGCGAGTTTCGGGGCATTCGGAGGTCATTTCGTCAAGCTGGAGCCAAAACACGGGCACACCTAAATCATTACACAGCCGTGTTCTGGTGGCCGTGCTTTTTATGCCAAGAGCTAATTGATTTGGCAAATTCAGCTGCAAACACGGGCTGAAAGCACGGCCGTGTTCAGGCAAAGCACGGCCGTGCCCACCGCGAAACACGACCGTGTTTCCCCCATTGCACTGGCCGTGTAATTAACACTAGCCAAAGCACGGGCGGGCTGAGGCATTACACGGCCGTGCCCTCGACCATGCTTTGGCCACAGATGCCCTTTTAAGCAGATTTTCAGCCAAAGAGAAGGGGATTCAAGTTTTTGAGAGAGAGAACGATTCCTAGAGAGAGAAAGCGACGAACAAGAGTCTCCAAGTGCCCTAGATTGATCTTCAACACCATTGGAGGCCAGTTTGAGCTTGGAGAAGTGCCGATCAACGTCCAGGAGCAGGAATCCATCCTTCACAGTATGAATTCCGCGTCTGATTCTGCTTTTGCTTCTTTCTCCATGGAGTAGTTCTCCCATTCATCTGGGTATGGAGAACCCTAGATTTGTATGTTAGGCTTTGATTGTATGAACCCAAGTACTGATTCTATGATTTGATTATATTCAATTGAGGTTTGAATGGCATGAATCCTGATCAAATTCCTGTTGTTTCTGCTTTAACCTAGAATGAGAATATCTTCCTAGGTTGATAGAGCATCCTTGATTGAAGGTAGGGAGTTGGTGACTTTAGTCGAGGAGCCAACTCACTATTCTGTACCGGATTTACTCCGGTAGTGGAGGTTTTGTTTGTTAAGGCCTCAATCTGTTTACTCCGGTGGAGGTTAGTCGCCCGCTAGAGACTCAGATTGAGAGGGTCTGAAGACCTTTAGTCGAGACTTCAGGCTGTTTAAGAACCTTCCGAAGTATAACTATCATAGAAACTGAACTTGGTAATTACAATCCGGCTTAACTGCAGTCTAGGGGGAACCATATCCGGGTGACCTCTCTTAACCTGAATATAACAGTTTACTTGCTTTGTTAGTTTGATAGTTTAGACTTGCATTCCAGTTTCATTGCTAGATAATAAGAATTCACTGAGTAGTCATCAGATCTAGGACCCGGGTTGGCATATAAACCTAACCTGCT